GGGGGGGGGGGAGCTGCAGTGTGGGCGCCTGGACCCCAGCCTGCGTCCCCCAGGTTCAGGGACTGGGTTCACCCCCAGCTGCCCCCTGACCCCGGGCCCCTCTCCAGTGGCCGCTGTGGGCGCCGCAACACCGCCACCTAGTGGCCGAGATCATCATCATTGTGTGAGAAGCAGGTGCTTTGTTTTGGGGGGCAATTTATGGAGATTTGGGGACTTTAACCCAGAACCACGGCTGCTTTCGACAGAAAACCATCAGGCCGAGCATAATGCCTTCATATGGCCAGATCCTGTGTTGGCAAATAATACAAACCCCAGCCCCGGGGCCTGAAGTGAGAAAGGGTGTCCCTCCCCCCAGGCCTCAGCTGGGGAGGGAACAGGGACAGCAGAGGGGTGAGGGGGGCTCCCACCATGACTAGGCTCCCTGCACACCCCAAAGGGAGGAAACACCACAGTGTCCCAGTCCCCAGGACGGAGAAACCGCTGGGCGTCTACTCGGTGGCCGACCACAGGGCACACAGGTCCCGTCCTGAGCCGTGAGCTCCAGGCCGCCCGCTGGCGAGCTGGGAATCCTCGGCCCCCTCCCCTGGTCACTAGTCTCACCCTGAGAAATCGCCAAAGGGAGGAGAGATGTTTTTGCCTGAATCACTCGCATTCCTTCCAGGCAAATCCTGGCGGTTTTATGAAAGAGCTTTTCTTCCCTTTTCTCAGCTGCACTCACTCGGGGGGATGGGGGGGGAACCTCTCCAGCCTCGGATGGAAACCGTCCATCCTTCCCTCTCAGAGACCACCTGGGCCTGAGGGGCGGCGGGGAAGGGGGCAGGAGACCCGAAAAGGCCACACTAACAGCCTGTGTGGTGACAGAGAGACTCGGGGACAGAGCCGCCCAGCTCTGAGGTGTCTTAGGAACTGTCCCCATGGACGCAACCAGCCCAGCACCTGCTCCCCAGCCAGCCAGGGTCACTGAGGCCCTGCCCAGGCCCCCTGCTTCCTCCAAGGCCCCCAAACCCGGGGGTGGGAGGAGCCTGGGCTCCGGAGCAGAGTTTTATTGGCTTCGGCTTTGGGCAGAAGGCGGGGACCATTGCTGAGGCGGGAAGAGCGGGTTTGGGGGGAAACCATGAGCTCTGCTTGGGCACGTGGAGTCCCGGATCCCTGTGGACCCCCCGGAGAAATGCCTGTGAGCTCACGAGTCAGACGCCGAAGCTCAGCAGAGACCTGGAAGCGAGAGAGAGATCTGGGCGCCGCCAGGCGGGAGTGAGGATTGAAGTCGTCGGAATAAGTGGCCCCAAAGAGAGGCCTGCAGGGTGGAAAGAGAGGTGCTAACGAGTTAGGGGCTGGCAGGCCACATGGAGGGACAGGGAAGGAAACGCCAGTGGAGACCTGGGGAGACTTCCCAGGAGGAGGGAACCCTCCCCAAGGAGGAGCCACACCCAGAGACGCAGCCTGGTGACCGCAGGGGGCAGGGGCGGTGGGGAGGTGGTGACCGGAGGCACCGCGATGCTGGCGAGGGAACCGCGCACGGAGAACAGACAGCTCCTCTGAGAAAGGCGCTGCAAAGGCAGGATCAGAATAGGCCTGAGAGGACCCCCGTCAGGTCCTGAACCCCCTCCTGGCGGCTCCACCCCATCCCCTGGGACACCCCCTGCTGGGCATAGACGTGGTTTCCTCGGCAGACGCTCCCCTGGATATTTTCCTGCAGAAACTGAGCTGAGCCCAGGGCACCAAATCTTCAGCTTCACTCAGATCCCCCCCCCACAGTGCATCATCCCCGCCACCCCCTTCCGACGGCATTGAGCTGATGTTTACCACCTGGGTTGCTATGGCGACGGGATGTCAGCACGGCTCGTTCTCACCGAAGGCGGGTCAGTGAGGAGGGCGGGCGGCTTTTTCAGCAGAATATAAAATACTGAAAGAGAGACTGTTGAGCTCCCGACAAACCATGAAAAGAGCAGAGGATTCTCCCCGCAAAGCAAGGTGCAGACCGCAAACAGGCTCTTCTGAGGTTCAGAGGCCCGGAGTCGGGCCAGCGCGGGACTCGGGAGTCTTCTCCTTAATATTAAAGCGTTTGTTAGCGGCCTCCCCTCACCCCTCCAATAGCTATTTCTCGTCTCTGCCTTTAGGGAAAACCGCGGCAATTTGGTCACGGTTGGGCGCGTGACCCCGCGCAGGACACGAACGGGGGTGGGAGTCTCTGGGCCCATGCAGAGGCTCCTGCCGGGAACAGTGTGAGGATCAGAGCCTGGAACAGCAGAGGGGAGCTCGGGGCTGGAGCGAGCGGGTTCGGGGTTCAATGCGATGGATTTGTTTCCACTTAAGTGAAAGACGGGGAGACCTGCTCAGCTCCGCACTCCCGGAGCCTCCTCGGTTCTTCCAGCCGGGAATGGAAACAGGCCCGAACTCGCCCCCGAGCCAACGCACCTGCCGCTCCTCCCGGCTGGACGCGCGTCCCCGCGGGCGCCGCGGGCCGGCTCCCGGGTGCTGATGGAAGCTGACTGTTTCCAAGCCCGCCGGCGAATCTTATTACAGCGGCCCCCTCCCCGGGCCCTGAGGATCACCGCCACCTTGATGGCAGAATAAAAATTAATTTTCTCGGCTATAATAAGAATGAATCGCTCGGGAGCAAATAAAGATCACAATGAACTCCGACGGGATAAATCTACATTTCACGCCCGCCGGCAGTTTCTCGGGACCCACGCGCTCCCCTCTCTCCGGTGCCCGCGTGGGTGAGGCCTCGGGTCCGACTCCCTCGCTGCTGGGCCGCGGTGGGCGCGGCGCCCAGGAGGGGCTCTGGGAGGAGAACCGGGAGCCCAGCGGAGGCCCCAGAGTCCGGAGGCTGAGTCCAGGGCTCAGAGGCATCGCAGGCAGAGGCCTGGTCCCCACTCAGCCACTCGGCAGCCATCCCTCTTCTGGTAACTACGCTCCAGTTTTCCTTTGAGAAATACCTCCTCCCTCGCTCCATATTTTTTTTAAAATGTGTCTTTATTAATTTCAAAGAGAGAGAAACATCCATGATGAGAGGTCATTGATCCGCTGCCTCCTGCGCCCCCCCCCCCCCCCCCCC